GTTTTTATCCAGTTTGACAATCTCTGCCTTTTGAGGAGAATGTTCAGTCCATCCATATTTAATGTAATTATATGATTAGATTTACTTTTGCCATTTTGTTAATTATTTTCTACTTGTGTCACACCTTTTTTTTTTTTATTCCTCTGTTCCTCCCTTACTGCTTTCTTTTGTGATAAATACTTTTAGTGTAGCATTTTAATTCCTCTACATTTTTTACTTTTTATTTTTTCAGAGTTATTTTCTTAGCAACTGTTCTAGGGATTATAACACGCATCTTAATTTATCACACTACTTCAAAAAAATAATTCCAGTAAAACAGAAAGTATACTCCAGCACATGCCCATTTTTTTCCCCTCTTTTATACTTTGCCATATGTATATTTCACATATACAGGTCATAAACACAAGCCCAGGTGACAGGGACTTCAGGAAAGTAGACAGTGGGAACAAAAAGAAATCAGGCAGCAAGGTCTAGGGAAACCAGGTGACAGAGCCCTAAAGAACACAGGCTGTGGGGACCAAACGAAACTAGGCAGTAGGGAGTAAAGTTTGCTAGGAAATGGGGACAAATGAAGCCAGGCAAGAGTCCCACAGGATGTGGAAAAAGAAAGATACCAAGAGCTCACCCCTTCTGTGTAGATGTTACCCCCACAGCCTGGACCTCTCTCTAGATAGCCCCCTCCCTACCCAGGTGGTGATCCCCTCCCCCAGGCCAATACTGGGACAGAGCCAGAGCCCCTTCCTCTCTCAGAGGCCTGGGCTGGTTGCAGCCAATGGGCCCCAGCCCCAGTCCCATCCCTGGGACCTCAGGAAGTCCCAGTCCAAGTCCCTCCCACTGGCTGCAGAAGCAGTGGGGTTGGGGCGGGGGGGTGGTAGGTAGAGAAAGAGAAAAGAGACAGCTTGGTAGGGGGAGCGCACCTAGCAGCCACAGAGGGAGGTGGGGGAGGGGAGGTGGGGGCCAAGAAAGGAGAAGCTCCAAGGCAGGCTGGCAGATGGGCATGGGCTCGCAGCATCTCCCTGGTGGCAGTGGGGGTGACAAGTTCTCCAGCCCTGGGCTGCGCAGCCACTAACCTGAGTGCCCATGCAGGCACCCCACCCCTACACAGCAGTGCCTCTGGTGATCAGCAGGCCTTATAAGAAAGCTTATCTGACACAGTAGACTTATTGCTTTATATGATTTTACGTGTTTCAAATGTGGAAAAATGAGAAAAATATATCTACAGACTCTTTTATATTTACCCAAACATTACCATACTCAAGACTCTTGAGTTCTTTGCACAGATATGAATTAACATCTGGAGTGATTTCTTTTCAGCCTGAAGAATTTCCTTTAGTATTTCTCACAAGATGGTCTACTTAGCAGGAAATTCTCTCAATCTTTGTTTACCTGAGAATAATTCACCTTTATTGTAGAAGACTAGGTTTTCTGGATACAGAATACTTGGTTGATCATTTTTTTTCTTTCAACATTTTCAATATGTCAGGCTTTATGGTCCCTACTGCTTCAGATGGATGGAAAAGTCAGCCATTAAATGTATTATTAGTTCCCTATGTGTAATGATTCATTTTTTTCATCTAGCTTTCAAGATTTTCTTTTTTCCTTTGGCTTTTAACAGTTTAAGTATGATGTGTCTGTGTGGGTTCTCTTTATGTTTTCCAACTTGGGGTTTATGGAGATTCTTGAATCTATAGATTGCTTTTCATTAAATCTGGAAAGTTTTCTGCCATTATTTCTTCATACATTTTTAAGTCCTCTCTCTTTCTTCTCTCCTGGGTCCCCCATTACGTGTATGTGTATCTACTTAATGTTTTCTCACAAACCTCTGAGGCTCTGTGGACTTTTCTTCAATCTTTCTCTATTCGTCAGGGTATATAAATTCTACTGATATATGCAAATTCACTGATTTTTTTTTTTTTTGCCATCTAAAATCTGCTACTGACTTCATCTAGTGAACTTTTGCTTTTAGTTACTATACTTTTTAACTCTAGAGCTTTTGTTTCTCTTTTATAATAATTACCTTTTTAATAAATTCTTTATTCATTGAGTCACTGTCACCCTACTTCCCCTGTAATACTTTAAATACGGTTTTCTCTGGGTTTTTTTGAACATACTTATAATCACTGCTTTAATGTTTTTCTCTGCTAAATCCAACATATGGAGACACTTATATACAATTTCTAGTGATTTTCTTAAGTATGAGTCATGCTTCCTTGTTTCTTTGCAGATCTCTAAACTTTTTGTTGAATATTGGATATTTTAAATGATACATTGCAGCAACTCTAGTTTCTGATTTTCCTTGAGGGTTGTTGTCTTATCTGTTTGTGTTTTAGCATCTTGATGAACTAAAAGTCTGTTTCCCCTTCATTGTGTGGCCACTGGGGTCTCTACTCCATTCTCTCCAACCCCATTTTTTAAAAAAAATTTTTAATGTTTATTTTTGAGACAGAGAGAGAGAGAGATAGAGTGTGAGCAGGGGAGGAACAGAGAGAGAGGGAGACACAGAATTGGAAGCAGGCTCCAGGCTCTGAGCTGTCAGCACAGAGCCTGATGTGGGACTCAAACTCACAGACCATGAGATCATGACAGGAGGTGAAGTTGGACACTTAACCAACTGAGCCACAAAGGTGCCCCATCCCGTTTTTATTTTTAAGGCTGGCTTTTTAAGACCTTTTCAAGCTGGTCTCCAGTGTTCACCTTGGTGTTTGGCTAAAGACTGATTAGAGATTTTATTTAATTATCTCAATCTAATAAGGCTTCCATTCCAAGGATGAGATTTGTGTGTGGAATGAGGAGTGCATTCAAAGTCTGAGCCTTTCACAAGATGGCCACAGGTTTTACTACCACTAGGCCCATTTGACTCTCCTCTTCACATATTCCTAGGCTCCAAAGACCAATGATGCATAGGTGGCTTAGGCCCACTTCATATTCTGCTGTGCATATCTACAGCCTCCGGTCAACCTGGGATGTGTGACCTTATCAATCCCCCATGACTATCTTGTCTCCTAGAACTCTTTATAAAATCCTGCTACTTCTTGAGTCTTTAATTTGCCACAAATTGGACTAGACTAGCAAAGCCTTAGACTAGCTAAGGCATTGGTCTTCCCTGTTTGTCTGCAACTAAGTTTACTGTTTTAACGTACAACACTGTGAGAGAGTGCCCTTTCTCCAGCTGGGGCTACAAAACTTCCAATCTTCAAGGCTTGCCCCATCCTGGTTGAAATGCCATACCAACAAAGCTGGGCATGAGGAAGAGAGGATGAGGAGTAGCACAGATAACACCACAAGTCTGTCATTGAGTTCAGTGATTTTCATGAAGTTTCTCAATTTGTTTAGTTGATTTCTAGAGCACTGAATTAGTTGTTTTGACAGCTTTGTCCAGCTTTATGTTTGCTTTGTGTAGAGAGTGATCAAACCTCTCATTCAGTCATCTCAGATATTCCTTTTTTAATAGTGTGTATATACATATATATCATGTGCTGCTGCAGTCCAAAATTTTACTATACCAAATCTTGGCTAAAACTTTGAAATTTTTTTTTAATTATTTATCTATCTTTGAGAGAGAGACAGAGAGCAAGCGGGGGAAGGCAGAGAAAGAGGGAGACATAGAATCCAAAGTAGGCTCCAGACTCTGAGCTGTCAGCACAGAGTCTGGCACAGGGCTCAAACTCCTGAACCGTGAGTTCACGACCTTAGCCAGAGTCGGATGCTTAACGACTGAGCCACTTGGGGGTCTCTTGGCTATAATTTTGAGATTGTATTTATCTCTGAGATCAAAATGCAAGGTCACTTTTTTGTTATTCATATTCTATGCACAGATATGTAGCTATTTTAGACTAGACATATTAGACTCAGCTTCCCTTCTTTTTTGTTCCTGCTGGGAAAAACTCATTTTGTGCATGTGTGCTGTGTACAGGGTATATAGAAAAGTTAAGGATTTCCCTACAGCACTATAATACAGAAGCTACTAAAAATGTAATATAGTCACAGGCAAAATCATGCTAACAGACTAGATCTATTCAGTCTAGACACCATAGTATTTGTGCGATAGTGATAACCCACAATAGATGAAAGTAACATTAAGAGGTATAGAAACTATGACACATGAAAAATAGTGAGAGTAATGTCAATGTTTACTCTGAAAAAAAAAATGACATGATGCTAGCCTTTCAAATGTTTAAAGTAGACTTACTCAGTATTGATACATCAGGCAGAGTCAAACTTAGGGGTATAATTTTGAGTTCATTATGCAAAATAAACTATTTAACAACTTAAGCTAAAACAAATGGACTCATTTTGCTCTTTTGCAAAGCGATGAGCTTCTCTCACTGAGAATGATCCTAACAGACTAGATGACCACATTTTTAAGGAGTGTTTATTTAGGAGATGAACTAGAAGACCTTTCAACCCTAAGTTTTTGTAATTTTATAAAAACAATTATATAAGAATTTAGATGGGATAAAAGATAACACTATCATGAAAAACCATCCAAAATATACATCAAGATGATTATAATTTGTGTTTTGATAATAAAGGAATGAGTTATAAAAACTATTCCTAAAAGACATGTATTCCACTGTACTCTTGGTTCTCAAAGGCCTACAATATGTTGGATATTACAAAAAACCTATGAGAAGCAGAATATACTATTCTACCATTGTACAAAGCAATGATCTAGAATTCTGGTTGCTATAACTTCTTAAAATCAAGAAGGCTGAAGTGGGAACAGAAGATAACTAAAAGAAAAAAGATATAGAGATTGTTACATAAAACCAGACTTCACTCTGAAAAGGTACAAGCTGAGTGGGTGCATTATAAATATTTATAAAGGACAGGAAGGGCACAAATAAGGTAAACTCAGATTTGTTCACCCAAACCTAGAAGGCAACCATTCAAACTCTGAAGGAGGTAAGGTTAGGACAAATAACAGAGGTATCATTATATTCAGGAAACATAATTTGCTAGGATTAAAACAGGTTATAGACTGAAAACAAATAACTTACCTCCTTTAGTTGATCAGCACTCCCCCATGATGCAGAACGCTGATGTGACCTCTTTTCGGCACCCTCTTCTGCCCAACAACTAGGTGTCTTTAATAAAAAAAAAAACATGATAATACAAATAATAAAATAAGGAATTTTGTCTCTACTTCTTAATCTCACAGCATTTCAAACATATTTCAAAATCTTAGCACATACCAGTTAAGTTATACTAAATACTAAAATCCCTTAAGTGCTAAGATTTTTCATGACCCGTGAAATGTTTAAAACATTCTGTCATATTCTGAATTAGACATTACCAATCTACGACGTCTCTGAGTAATGTCATTCAAAACGTTTTTTTTTACAACATTAATAACTTAAAAGTTATCAAATCAAAGAGAATTATGAAGATACACATCTTTGAGCTTTTAAAGAGAATAGCCAAACTAAATATAAAATGGCATTTGTCCTAAGTAAAAGAGATGGAAATGAGATTAACAGAACTAGCTCAGAAGCAGTGGGATTACAGATGACCTACAAGTCAAACATCTAGCTAAAGAGCAGATTGTACTATTCTTCCTACACTCAGGAAAGAGAGTATTAGCAATAGTATCCTCTTTTGAAAAACATCAAGCATCTTTAAATAAAAATATAAAATTATTAAAATGACAAAGAAAAACATTAAATCTGAATGAACTTACTATGATCTGAAACAATACATTAAAAAAAAAAAAACTTGAGCTACATGTCAGAAAAGAGTTTTCACCTTAAACCTCATTTTCAATAATTCAACCAGTAGCAGACACTATACCCAAACATAACACAAAACGCTAAATGCCAAATAGTGAGACCATTTAGTAGTTGTATAAAAAAGTCAAAATATTAAAATATCATCCTTAAGATATGAGAAGACTCTTAGTGGAATGCAAACCAGGGAAAGTAAAAAGCACTACAGCTAGACAAAGGATAACGATTAGCACAATCAACACATATAGATTTAAAAACTATTGTTTATTATAGACTGAAAAAAAAATCAATCCTTATGTTGAGGTTGATGCTATATAACTTCTTATGAAAAAGGCCTCAGTTCTACTCTATACAATTCAAAATGCTTGTGAACAACTTTTTAAGTAATTACCTCTTAAGAGTAATAATGCTCCAAAATGAAACCAACAATTAATTAAATGGTAGGTGAATAAAAACACAAACAAGCTGCTTAACCAACCAGTTAAAGTACCAAAGTGAAGCTGTTCAGTGATAACTGAGAGTAAAACAGTTTATTTTCATCAAACTTTCATTTTGAGAATTTATATGCTCAATACTTTTACTTTTCTACCAAGTGTAAGCATTAGTCTTCTCAAAACTCAAATGACTAAGGATCACGATGCTTAAAACTCAAAAGTACTTCACAGAAAAGGAGTCAAATTTCTGGTATGTTCCATAATTATTTAATAATTACATTTCTAACAGGAATTATTTTCATTTGGTACAACTCCAATTTTTTCAAAGGACATTTATTACATAAACTGTATAGGTATCTCCAACTGGGAGTTAAATCAATAGCCACAAAACTTTTGCAATTGCCTTACTACTGCCAGGCACACCAGTGGCAAATGGAGCTACATCTGAGGTCTCTTATCTCACAAAAGATCTTCTTTCTTCATACTATCATTCTTTTCTTAAAACTGAATGTGAAAACCTATATGATTATTTCAGAATGTAGTGTTAGTTATACAAAAGAAATAAAAACTAACTACAAAGGAGTATTTATATTCCTGAAATCCAGCTAGTAAAACATGTAGGTTTTTAAGAGTGCAAAACTATTAGAAGAGTACTCTGACATGTGGCTGCAGAATTACATGCATATAAATTGTTTAAATACATTCATCATAGTACCAACTTTTCCAAAAAATACTCCCCAGAAAGTAATTTCATTTTAATCACATCAATTTTAAATAAATAGAAAATGTTCGAGTCTGTAAATATATTCTATAGACCACATTGTCCAATAAGACAGCTACTAGCCACATGCAACAATTTAAATTAATGAAAATGAAATAAAACTAAAAATTCAGTTCCTTAGTCACACTAGCGCATTTCAAATGCTCAGTAACCACATGTGGCTAGTGGCTACTGGCTGCTATACAAGACAGCACAGATGTGGAACATTTCCATTGCTGCAGAAAGTTCTACTGGGAGCAGTGTTTTATATATTTAATCGCAGATTTTTAACAAGTTACTGTAGTCAAAGCAAAACCAAAAGATGGCTACTTGGTTTATTAAATCTATGTAAAGTTCATGCTTGTGAAGTCACAAAAGATGAACTAATTTGTATCTAATTTATTAAATCTGAGCATTTGAGAAATGCTTTACTATTTAAATTCAATAACCAACAATACAAAGCAGCAAAAATTCTTTCCTTTCATATCAGCAAGAAATTCCTTCCAACTAGATTGTCCATTAATCTAGAGTAGAATTTTATGAACTGTGCTACTTATAACATCGCTATTGGATGCTGATAAGAATAAAGATAAAACTGTTCTATGGCCAAATTAATTTGGGAAATACTGTATTTCACACTTCCCCATACCTCATGTACAATACAATTAGCATTTCAAAAACTCAAATACACACTTTTTAAAAACCTGCTTTACTTTCTTTCTTTTACTTATATGACCCCAGAACACTTATTTTACAAGTAGACTTATTAACACTTGGAAAGGAATATAATCCCCTCAATAATGTGGACTGTATTTAATTGCTTGCTCTTCAGCCAGCCACTTTAGGGGATTCTTCCTTTCTAGTTGCCTCCACTTACACTACCAAGGAAGAGAAAGTAAACCTTTTGTATACTTGAACAATGCAGAACTAAAGCCTATCTCTAAGACTACTGGCTAAAAAAAATTCCCTTGGAGTGACAAGGATATCAAGGCCATTTTCATTTTTTATCTTCACCTCTTGGAATTATCCAAAATCCAGCCCATGAAGCTTCCTCTCTAACCCTCAGGTCCATCCACCTACCTCTTGGTTTCCGGTGTGAGGACCTCTTCTTCTATGAGTGAATTATACAGAAAACAGTTCTAATGCATGGGACTGCACACTCGTTTAAGAGCATTTTTAGGTTCACAGCAAAACTGAGAGAAAGTTGCAGAGATTTCCCATATACCCCTCATGCCCCACACACGCACAGCCATCCCCCACCAGAGTGGTACATTTGTCACAACTGATTAACCTACATCGATCCATCATTATCACCCAGAGTCCACACTTTACATTTGAGTTCACTCTTGGCAGTGTACATTGTATGGATGTGGACAAATGTGTGACACGTATGCCACCATTATACTATCATGCTGGGTATTTTCACTGTCCTAAAAAATCCTCTGTGTTCTACCTCTTCATTCCTCTCCTTATCCCCTAAACCCTGGCAACCACTGATCTTTTTACTTTCTCCTTTTTGGCCTTTTCCAGAATGTCGTATCGTTGGGATCGTATGGTAGGGTCACATTTTCAGAGTGGCTTCTTTCACTCAGTAATGTATATTTAAGGTTCGTCCATGTCTTTTCACAGCTTTATGGCACATTTCTTCTTAGTGCTCAGTAATACAGTTGTCTGGATGCACCACACTTACTCATTCACCTACGGAAGGACACCTTGGCTGCTTCCAAGTTTTGGGAATTAGGAATAAAGCTGCATAGATGTTATCTGTGTCCAGGTTTTTGTATGGACAAAAGTTTGCAACTCCTTTGGGTAAATACCAAGGAGCACAAATGCTGGACGGTGTGAAAAAGCTACATTCAGTTTTGTAAGAAACTGCTGAACTGTCTTCCAAAGCAGCTGTAGTGTATCACATTCCCACCAGCAATGAATGGAAGTTCCCATTGCTCTACATCCCGGCCAGCATCTGGTATTATCAGTGTCCTGGATTTTGGCCATTCTAATAGGTGTGTTTTAATTTGTATTTCTCTGATGACAAATGATGCAAAGCCATCTTTTCATATGCTTGTTTGCCATCTTTCTTGGTGAAGTATCTATTAAGGTCTCTGGCCCATTTTTTAATCAGGTTGTTTGTTTTCTTGTTGTTGAGCTTTAAAAGTTCTTTGTATATTCTGGGTAATGGTCCCTTATAGATGTGAACACTGGAGAATTTTATAATAGGCTTTATTCACAAACTAGCAAGGGCAAATTAGCTCCTAGCAAAAAAGTACTTTTTTCAATATGCAAGAGCCCAAAGCTACTTCCACAACAACCCACAAAACCAAAAAAAAACCCCAAAAAACAAAAAACAAAAAACCTAAGTACTTGATAAAATTCTCATGATCTTATTTAAAACTTAAGTAAAACTTTTTTTTTTTTTTTTT